TGAGGTGTTGTTCCTCCAGTTTGCGTTGGGCTTCACTGGAACACTGCAGCAAGCCAGAAACAGAGATGTTGGCCAGGGAGCAGGGTGGTGCATTAAAGTGGCAAGCAACAGGTAGTTCAGGGTCTTATTGTGAGCAGAACGTAGATGTTCTGCAAAGCAGTCGCCAAGTCTACGCTTCGTTTCCCCAATATACAGGAGACCACATTGTGAGCAACAAATGCAGTAGACTAGATTCTGTGAAGTGCAGGTGAAGTGTTGCAGCAACTTGGTATACAGTTGTGAAGTATAGATGATTTACTAGCAAGAAAGAAGGCCAACAATTTTCATCTTTGATGTCTACAATGCCTTCGAAGCATCACAAAGTAGGAAAAAATTATAGATGCCCCAATGTTCAGAGCAAATCTCCAAAGTATGCTAGTATTCCAACAAAGATAACTTCGTTGGCTCAGGCACACTCACAGGATGCAAGATGAACACATTCCCATGGACATTCTATATAGCGAACAAGCTGGAGCCAGAAGACAATAGGAGACCCACAGTGTCGCTTCTAAGACTCTTGAAAGCACAACATGAATGCCCTAAACATTTCCTCAAATCCCACCTCAATCATCATGCTATCTGAAATAACTCCAGACAGGCCAGTATCCCATCACCAAGTCACCCCTTATTTACTCGAGGGGAGTCCTTGGCACTGATCCAGCTCCGAATGCACAGGATGTCTGACAGTCCCGTTCTGTCAGCCAGGGCTCTCTCTGATTGGACCAGATTAACAGACCCAATCTCATAACTCCAAGATCTAGGTCTCAGCTCTGCCCTTTGCAACTGGATCCTCAGCTTCCTAAACCAGAAACCACAGCGAAGACAGACAACAGCACCTCCTCCACGATAATCCTGAACACTGGCGCCCCACAAGGATGCGTTCTCAGCATGCTACTGTATTCCCTGTATGCCCACAACTGTGTAGTCAAATTCCAAAAGAACACAATTTACAAGTTTGCTGACATCACCACTGTGGTTAAATTGGTATCAAGCAACAATGATTCAGAAGACAGGAGATTCAGGGCTTTGGTGTCATGCTGCAATGATAACAACATCTCTCTCAACATCAGCAAAACAAAATAAATGATCATTGACATCAAGAAAGGAGGACATGTCTCCATCTACACTAACGGAGCTGAATGGAGAGGGTCCAGAGTGTCAAGTTTCTAAAGTAATGATAACCGACAATCTGTCCTGGACCTCCCACGTAGACACAATGGTCAAGAAGGCAAACAGCTCCTCTTCTTCCTCAGGTGGCTTAGGAAATTCAGTACGTCCATAAGGACCTTCACCAACTTTTTCAGATGCCCCATAGAAAGCATTCTATCCAGGTGTATTATGGCCGGCTATGGCAACTGCTCTGCACAGGAACATAAGAAATGACACAAAGTTGTGTGCACAACTCAGACCATCATGGAAGCCAACCTTCCATCCCTAAACTCCATTTACACTTCTCATTGCTGTAGAAAGGCTGCCAACATCAAAGAACTCTCCCACCCCAGTAATGCTCTCCTACAACCTCTTCGGTCAAGCAGAAGATATAGCAGCTTGAACATACACACGCACACACCCTAACAGATTCAAGGACAGCTTCTTCCCTGCCATTATTAGACTGCTGAATGGACCTAACTTCAAATAATGTTGATCTTGCTTTGCAGACCTCCTGTGCAGCCATAATCTTGCATGTCTCACTCTGTCTAAGCACCCTATGATCTATACGTCCTTGTTTGCTATGATCTGCCAATACTGCTTAAAAATAAAATACTAAGGTATGTGTGACTACAATAAATCAAAATCAATCAATCAGGGAACTCAATCTATGAGTTCCACCTATCTGACCTTGTTACAGTCCCTCCGAGTCCGAGGAGATAGGCCAGTTCTTTTTCTTTTGTAGCTACTCCTGGGGCAGGGTCAAGTTCCTCTAACATTGTTCTGATACACGCAGCGTGTAACACACAATAGCTCGCCTCTTGTGCACACAGCATCTCGGAAGAAATTCATTCTCTTCTTCAGGCAGCAATGGCATTGAGGCAGAGACAGTGTTGAGGCAGCAATATCTACCATGTCCATCTCAGATTCCGAGGTAACTTCAATGATTGACAGATAGTGAAAACGCATGGGTTCCGGAACAGTCAGAAAGGCTGTTCAGGAGCTGGGCGCATTCAGGACCGCTGCATCAACACAAACTTTATATGTCATTGGACCGGACCTCATGTCGACCATGCCTCTTATCCATGCAGTGTCATTCCCATGGTTCCTACATCAAACTTCGTCCCCACTCTTGCTTATCAGATTCTTGTGTCGCACACTAGCGTTCCTGATGCTGTTTCGGCCCCCACCCCCTCCCCCAGTCTGGGAAGAGCAGATTTAATCCAGTGAATCTTCTCCCCATTAACAACTCTGCTGGAGCTATCCCCGTAGTTGCACGACAAGTGGTCCTATAATCAAACCGGGACAGTTTGGTGTCTAGTGAAGCTGCAAGCTGTTTCTTCAAGGCTGCCTTCAAAGTTTGGAATATTCTTTCTACCCATTTGGATGATGGAAGGTACGGAGCTGTCCTTATGATGAATATCATTCAACTTTAGGAAATACTCAAATTCCCCAATGGTAAATGATGGCCTGTTATCTGTAACCAATACTACCAGCAATCCGTGTATTGCAAAAGATACACGCAGTTTTTCAATCGTTCTCCCAATGTTTGATGAATGAGCTCTTTGCACGTCCAGCCACTTTCAGTAGATGTCCACAATGACCAACAACATGGAGGACATGAAAGGACCCGCACAGTCGACGTGTAACCGAGTCCGGGGTTTATCCGGTCATTCCCACTAATGTGGGGGAGCTGCTGGTGGTAATTTTTGTCCTTGGTGGTACTCTGGGCACTGGCCCACCAATGTACCTATGCCTACATATAGTGCCAGCCACCAGACATTACATCTTAATTTGGGAAACCACTGGATGACCCTCATTGAGTTCAGCTAGTATCCGGTAGCGAACTTTGCTTGGGACAATCACTCTTGCTCTCCATAATAATATACCATGCTTTACTGTGATCCAGTCTCTCCATGTCCAAAAAGCTTTCAAATCTGGTTGCAACGGTCCTTTGGTTTCCCCCATCACCACCAACTGTTTCAGTTTTGCCAGGACCAGATCTTTCTGCATCCAGTCAGATATTGTCAGCCGTGACTGAAAGTGGGTCCAGAAATTTAAAACCAGAATGGACTCTTCCAGTAGCAGTACACTGATCTATCTGCTAGCAACTCAATGCATCCACAATTGCCACTTGGCCTCCCAGATGGTGTGGCCAGGCAGGAAATAACTCCTACATCGTCATTACATGACCACATGAGGACATTGATTGGGGTAAGGCAGGTAGGCTGGTCTTGGCCTCACTTGTCCAGCTATAACATTGCAGAGAGGTTAGGTTGAGCAAGATGCCTTTGGGAAAGATACCCAGGTAATTTTATAGCCCTAACATGGCCAATAACACAAGATGTACTCGCTAACAAACAAGGACAGGTTGAGGTGGGCAGAAACCCATTGGGATAGCAACCTAGAGGCTTTTACAGCCTTCCAATACCCTGTAAACTTGCGAGCAGGTTAATGTCCCAGAATATGATTTCAACCCCACTTCTGAATGCTGCGTTAAGAGACTGAAAGCATGGTGGTTAAATTTGTAATTGAAACAAAGATAGATAGGAAAGTGAGTTATGAAGAGGATAAGGGCCTACAAAGGAATATAGATAGGTTGAGTGGGCAAAGATCTGGCAAGAGGAGTATGATGTGGGAAAATTCGGTGTGAAATTGTTCATTTTGCCATAAAGAATTTAAAAAAAAGCACATTATCTAAGTGGCGAGAGACGCAGAAATCTGGATGTCCGAATATGTGATCCGCTGAAGGTTAGAACGCAGGTACAGCAATGTAGTCAGGAAAGCTAATAGAATGTTAGGTTTTATTGTGAAGGTAATTGAATCTAAGATTAGGGAGGTCATGCTTAGATATACAGGGAATTGTTAGGACCACATCTGGAGTACTGTGTATAGTACTGCTCACCATACTTCAGGAAGGATGTTAAGTAATGGAGAAGTAATGAAGAGAAGGTTTATTAGACTAATTTATTAGACTAATATCTGGATGGAGTAGAATGCCATCTGAGAAAAGGCTAGACATGCATGATCTGGAATTAAGAAGAATCAGAGGTGACTTAATTAATCCTGAGGGGGCTTGATCAGTTAGATGTCATAAGAATGGCATACAAGAGGAAACAATCTAGAATTAGGGGTCATAGTTTAAAAATAAGGGACCACCCATTTAAGAAAGAGGTCAGAAAAATATCTCAGCTATGAATCTTTGGAATTCCCTTCTTCAAAACACAGTGCATGCAGAATCTTTACGTATTTTTGAGGCAGAGATAGACAGATTCTTGGCTACCAAGAGGATGAAAGATTATTCCTTGTTTGTATGTTCATATGAGATAGCACCAACAGAAAGAGCCACTTTGGCAAAACAGCAAATTTCTTTGGAGAAATCTACTGGTGATCAATTTACATGCTTACCTTTTTCAAATAATATGAATGAGATTTACATAACACAGGGCCTTAAGCTATTATAAGCTTTACACAAATCCGTTACAAAGTGTTTGGAGTTGTCCTGACAATGAATAAACTCTTCGAGTTTCCAAGTTATTATTCAATTGTACGGAGTTTAGTTTAAGTAGCCTGCTCAGAAAGAAGTTACTATTCCACATCATCTCAACACTAATGCAAAAGATAATATTCAGTTATGCAAAAGTTACAACATAGAACAGGCTTTTCAGCAACTCCATGCTATTGTGCATCCTTCATTTAGATTAAGTTACTAAATAAGAAACTGTGAAGATAAACTCTCTCAATTGTCCAAAAGTAAGGTGACCTTCTATTTAAATACTCAGATTGAAAATGTAATTTCCTAATTCACATACCTCAGAGGGCTGCTGAAGTCCTTGTGTGGCCTGACTAGGCGTTGCAGACCACACAATGTTCACATTATTTGAAGGCATTGAAGGTGAAGCGCATACATTTCCGTTCTTCAACTGCTCAGCTGAACGAGATCTTGGTCCCTGCCATCCTAAGACAGCTTCTGAAATAAAAAATATTGCAGCAGAACATTACCAGTCCCACATTTTAGAAAGTAACCTGGCTCATCTACATTAAAGTTATTTTAAAAAATGGCATATCTGCACTCTAGTTCACATAATTTAGTTCACAAGTTATCTATGCAGGAATGTTTAGGAAAAAAAGCTGCTGGAAATACTCAGCAAGTCTGGCAGCATCTGTAGAGAAAGAAGTATTGCTATTGTGACACTAATATGACTCTTGTCAGTATATCCAGCATATTTAGTTTTTATGTCAGATTTTCAGCTTTCATAGGACTTTGCTTATATGATATGCTGTGGATTTTGTTTTTAAAGCCATTACACAAAAGTTCCAGAGACAGAAGATTTTAAAACCTAATCAGTAGACATATGTGCGCACATAAGGACTATTAATAGATCTATAACAAAATACTGCAAAGTACATACTTAAAAATAGTGTTATGATTCCAGATGATGTCACAATTGGATAAGGCAGATACCAGAATGAAATCTGGTTTGGTTTTCCCCATAATCCTCGATTTGCTTACTGAATAAAAATCTCTCTCTCTCAAACTTGAAGATACTTAACCATGCCTCCTTTACAGCCCTCTCCAGTAAAGAATTCCACAAATTCATTAAACTTCAAGACAAGAAATTCCTCCTTATCCCTGTACCAACTGGGCAATCCCTTACTGAGATTATGTGCTCTGTACTTAGATTCTCCCAGAAAATAACCTCTCCACGTCTATCCTGTCAAGCCTCGTCAATCTTGCATGTTTCAATATGGTTGCCTCTCATTCTTCTAAACACCAGTGAGTACGGGTCCAACATACTCAACCTCTCCTCCTGAGAAAATTCCCTCCATACCCGAAATCAATCTAGTAAACCTTCTCTGGCTTGTCTCTTATGCCAGTATTTGTTTCCTTCAATAAGGGAACAAACCTATTCACTGTAATCTAGATGTGGTCTGATTATCACCTTGTACAATTGTAACAAAAAAAAACTTATTTATTTTTATATTCCGTCCCCTTCCCGATTACCTGCTGAGCTTGTAGCCTAGCTTTTTACGACTTATGCACAAGGACTCCCAAGTCCTCTGACAGATGAGACTCTCTCAGGCTTTTTATGATCTGCAGAGAGTTCTAACAAAACTCCTGTCTGGAAGTTTCACTGACTAAACTGTTTCCCTGAAGTAACTTATTCTCTTAACTGCTCTAAACAAACACCTTTACTATGCGAGACTATACTTCTTTCTGACCGCTGTCATTTCTCCTTCGAACGAAACCCAAGAGCTTCCAAAACAAAACTTAAAAAAAAACTGTCATCCTACAGTCCCCTATGGCTAATGTTTTGCTGTTTTCTCTCTCCTGCCATAAATCCCCCATTATATAAACAAAGTTTCATTAACACTCCAGGGATCCTTGCAGTTACCTGCTCTCTGGGACACGTACTGGTTTTAAAATCACGGTTCCTGAAAGAATGACCTTCACAAAAACAGACCAACACCCTTACGCCATTAGCTTGGAATCCAAGCTCCAAAACAAAAAGATATAAATCTCACATTACAACACTAACACGGCAGTAAAGGGATGGTAGTGATTTGGGTATAGAATTAGCTAAAGGATAGAATGCAACAGTAGTAGTGAACATATTTTCTTGACTCCAGGAAAGTATGCAACTCACTTCCCTAGCCTTATCAGAGCCATTGCTATTCCTGTTGTACATAGACTGACCCGGACTTTGAAAAAGGGAATGGAATTTCAAAGATGGTTGGTGATATAAAGTTCAACAAATTAGCAAACCGTGAACAGCATAGCAGTAGATTTTAAGGGGATGGATTTATGATATATGCAATTTCACTGTGACGCACTTTGGGAGAAACTTTTTTTTTTTTTTTTGAGTTGGTGGAATGTATAACGAGCATATTCACAACTCATTGCCAGCACTGAACAGACATATAGGATACTTGGCTTAGGATGCCAAGATAAGGAAGTCGTGTTAAAACTTTGAGAATAACTGGTTGTGTTTCAGCTGAAATATTATGTACAATCTGCATACCACATTTCAGCAAGCACATCCATGGGCAGCATACAGATAAATTCTTCCAGGATAATACCAAGGATTAGAGAGTTCCAAAGCTGGGGGTCTATTCTTCTTAAGGTTAAGGGGGAAACCAAACAGATATATTCAAAATTATGAGGAGCTTTGATAAAGCAAGTAGGAGAAATAATTTCCTCTAGCAAGTTGGTTCAGTGACCAGAAGTCAGAAATATTAACTAATTGGCAGAAGTCGAGTAATTTCTTCACACATTTGTTAAATTCTAGATATCCTGGCACGCAGCGAGTCTATCACTTCCCTTATTTGTAATGTTGTCAGAAAACCATGAGATGTTAGAGATGCTACCTGGTCTAACCTGGAGGAATTCAGGAACAACAAAAAAAATTCACGGCCACAGTGTAAAAACCACATTTCTTTATTTCCTGCCTGCAGACTAAATAAAGGGATCTACAGCTTTAAACCAAGGCAACTGTGCAAAAAGGTGCTGCAGTTTTAAAAATCACGATTACTGGAGCACACTGCGAGTTATATACATTGTCATGTTTTCTTTGAGCAATGACAGCAGAAGTAGACATGACCTAGCCAATGGGTTCTGAACTAAGATAGAACAGCTTAATAATAACTTTCTGAACAGCTCCTGCTTTGGTAATCATGGCTTGTTGGAGCCAGTGCAGCAGAGAACTACCTAACCTGCAAAGAGAAAGCATTAAAAAAATCTGTTTCACTGTCTCTCTCTCTCTCTCTCTCTCTCTCTCATACAAAGGTACTAGTAAGTCTGCAGTAACAGTCAGCTGCCTTCCACGCACTCTTCTCTGCAAATCTCCTTTTGAAGGAAGAATAATAAAACTAAATAATAAGAATGCTCAAATTCTCAACTAGTGAACAAAAGAAGGCATCAGTGTGCAGACAACCTTGTGTCAACAGTAAAAAACTATAAAAAGGAATTGAAAGAAAAAAAAAAAGCAATTCATCAAATTCCGTGAACTACACTGGTACCCTACCAAACTAGGCTTCCCTTTTTCCACTCTTAATATCCAGGCTTGTCTGGATTTATATATCCGCCTGTTTGTGAACAGGGGAATTTTAGAAGGGATAGAGTTTAAGTTGTAGACTGATAAGTTCGCAATTCATATTTCATAACTATCACTGAATGACGACAAACTTGTTCTCAATAACAAGTTATTTTCTTATCAAGTATAGAAACTTGGTGAGTATTTTATTTTAACTGGAGTTCCATCAAGTAAATTAAGGGCATTGAATAGTTTGATTCAACCTTTCCATGTTTGTGTTGAATCCAGGAATAGTGAGGTTTGACTTCTAGTGCAATATCCTGGTGAATCATGACAACCGTCACCTCTAAAACAACTAGCAGGTACCGACCTCAAACTGGTTTGAGGATCTAGTTCTGTTTGATTTCAGTATGCAGTTCTTTGCTATGTTAAGGCGAGAGAATTACTCCTTGTTGATTTCGGATGCATATGACCTCGTGACAACCTTCTTTGATCAGCTTGTCATCCACTCAATCTCGATCATTCCAAAGGGAATAAGAAGCAAAGTTCCCTCAAAGTTTTTCCATCCAAAAATAGAATAATTCAATTTTAAACTTATCACAATAATGTGAAGTCATGACCTCTAGCCTTGATCAGTGTCATAACCTTTATAATACCTTACGTGGCAGATATTTATTAATTTATATATTGTAATTTATGTTTCAGTCATTTAAAACAAGAAATGTTAACTTAGTAACAAGCAAAGACAAGCTCAAAGTAGAAAGATCCTTTTGAATTGATACAAAATATGATAAAATCAACTTCGTGAGTGTTCCCTTTACTTAAAAAAGAAAAATAATTTCTTTGTAATGTGATGAAATTAAGAGATTATATATAAAAACAAAACCAATTCACGCTAGAGGAAGTTATCAGAGGTTCTAAGGCACTACCAGAGTACTTAGAGGGACAGCTTCACAGACTTTTATTTTCAATCTGTGTTGTGAAGTCATTCAAGAGAGAAGCATGTGCCAAGTGACATTCAGAAGAAATGGAGCTAAAGAAATTTAATCATAAGTTATTATTAATCCTAGATCAGAATGCTAGAATACAATCAATCAATCAGTGCAAAAGAAGTCATGTTATAAGTTTATTTTCAAAAGAAAAGGAATTAAAGCTGCATCATGGATTGTACAGTCCTGGAAGGAAGCTAAGTCAGGAGCATAATATTAATATTGACAATAATAAAAATGAAGAAGGCATTATCTAAAAGTTCCAGCAGATGAGTTTAAATTTTAATTACTTTACACCCAAAGTATTAATTAAAGAAAGTCTTTCTCCCTTGAAAGTGAATTGCACTGGGTCTTGCCAAAGATACAGCAGTAGATGTTGTTAGAATTGTAACAGTCGTTGTAAGCTGTACCAGGGTACTGACTCCGATATCAAAGTGTTGCTTCTGTTCAATTTGTAAAGTGTGTTTGGGTTATTTCAGCTGTGCACTTAAAAATCTCTGAATCTCTGCTAAGAGTACAGTGCTTTTTTTCTTGATCGACATTTCTGTTGCAAATAAACTTGTGTTTTATTGTTAAAACAAAATTGTGTGCTTATGTTTCAGCAAAAGATCACCTCAGTACCAATAACAAAAATAACACAAACATAATCTATCCAGATGGGTTCCTACTGGGGATCTAACTTGTCCCGCATAAATATCAACTGGGAATTACCCCATAACAATTGGGGCCACTAGATCATAATAACATCAACAGACAGAGTCAGGCAGAAGTATTTATAGAGTCACAGAGTTATAAATCACTGAAACAGACGCTTTGATACATCTCATCGACGTCAGATATCCTAAACTGATCTAGTACCATTTGCCAGCATTTGGCCCATATCTCTCTAAACCCTTCCTATTCATACACCCATCCAGATGTCTTTTAAATGTTATAATTGTACCCAC